CTCTTACGGTGTAGGCCATCGCTACAAGGGTGGAGGCCATCGCTCTTGGGTTGGAGGCCATCGCTCTTAGGGTTGGAGGCTATCGCTCTTAGGGTTGGAGGCCATTGCTACAAGGGTGGAGGCCGTCGCTTTTAGGGTGGAGGCCATCGCTGCTAGGGTGGAGGAGCCGCTTTAAGGAACTCGTGGCAGTTCGCCAGCCACTCGGCCTGGCCTTGGACACGTGGCATTGTGGCATCGGGTCCAGTAGCGTAGCTGGCGTAGCTCCGAAGTGGCGTGACAGGACCCATCACCAGAAATCGACAGTGACTACCGTTATGGGCGGTCTCAGCTTGATTGGTGTGTGCAGTGTGCAGTAGTGTTCCTTTTGAAGCGGTTTCACGGTTTCACCATGAAATCAGGGAGGACAGCTTGAACCTCCCTGAACACCAGGAATCTTTTGACGAAAGTCACGATCAAAGCATGATCGGCGGTAAACCAGCCACTGACCATTGTCCTTATCCTGCTGAAGCTTGTCTAGATCTCAACATCCTTGGTAGGTCTAAAACGTGTTTTGACGGAGAAGGGCACTCCAAGAGCTTGGTTAAGTCCAAGAAACCGCTCCAGCGGTCGATCGGCACTGAGACTTTGCCGCGTGTTCAGGAGCCGATCGACTTTGCCGCGGAAGCAGCCAAGACGGCCGCCAGGCGTTGACACCCGGCGATGGTGGCGTTGAAACCCGGCGATGTCCGGCAGTTCCAGCGGATCTGGAGATTCCGCGATTGGGCCACGGAGTGAGTTAGAATGGTGTCGTAGATTTAGAATGTTGTAAGATGTGTATGGGGTAGTTCTGGGTCGTTATCCATCTAAATCTATCTATAGATCTACAGATTAACCATGACCAACTCTTACATACATGTACCAACAAAAAACATATACATGCATACACAGAGATGAAGTTAGTTTATGCGAACGAAGTGAGTCTTTTGGGAGTGGGGAGAAGTTTATGTAAATATATGTAAATGACATTAGCCTGACGGTGTGTTCTATTTTCCACAGACGATGCAAGGTGACTGAGGTATTTCATCCCTAGCATCATCACCACACTAGAGTAGACAAAATGCATCCTTTAGGTGACACATGTGTATTGAATGTGCGCCGAACATTCACTTGCTGGTTCCTCCTGGCTTTCGTTTCCTCGTTCTCAGGTCGATATATATAATATAATATATATATACACATGTATCACACCTTCATGTTCTACTGTTCTACAGACTGCGCTACTAAATCTTGTGACCCATCGCGCAGAGACTTGAGGCACATCTTGCCTGCAAGATGTGCATGATAACTTTGCAAAGCTTCAATGCTTTGTCTCCTTCCAAAAATCTCCACACTTCTTTGACCTCTTGATCTGTGAGAGGAAACGCACTTTTTTGCACTCTGGACTCCATCCCCACAGTGCCGGTCCTGTGGTTCGGACCGATTAAGAAAATAGCCCAATGGAAGCAAGTCCTTCCAAACGGTGCCAACGGTGCAGCAGCTTCCGAGCCATTTGTATGTATGTACGATATACACCTGATTCCAACGAGCCATCCTCTTCTTACACTCAAGCATGTCGCAAATACGTGTAGGGTCGGTTGATGTGTATGTGTTTGGTATGCCCAGGTGGTTTCGAACTAAGTCTTCCACAGAAGAGTCCATCAATGGTCTACCCGGAAACAGGCCAACTCCAAAGTTGTAGACTATTGCAGACAGCAATCCGGGGGAACGCAGCCAAGTTTGGCCGCTTAAGACTCCAACCTCAAGACCTATCCACCAATACTAGTCTCTTGCGGACCCTCTTGGCATCCTAGTCCGAAAAAACACTCGGTGGCAGGTCCTTGGCCCGGTCTGCCTCGCAGACCTACACGAAGACGTTGCTTCCCCGATGCATTGAGGTGCCGGTGTGTGTGTGTGTGTGTGGATTTGAGCGTGGCGTTTCTGATCTTCACTGGGCGACGAAGAGGGCGCATCCGATGGGGATGAATCATGAAAAAACTTGCAGCCCCTCCACCATGTAGTAATACAGTAAACGACAGCCGCAAGTCGTGTTACCAAGGACCGACAGACAGATGAGCATAACCAGAAAATCTTGGACACCCGCCGGCCATGCAGTCCTTGATAGTTCTTGATAGTCACATTGAGGCCCCCACTTGCTTCTTGGCACCAAAGTCAGATCATCTGCATGGGATCATCCAAATCATGAACCAACAAAGCAAGAAATGAGCCAAGACAGCGTCTTGTGGGGTGGGCATGCCGGCCAAGGAGGGTTAAGCACTCGCAGAACGTTTCTGAAGATGTCCAAGTGTGACTTAATCAGGTTTCAACACCCCCAGTGATTCCAAACCAGAGCTATGACAAACTATCAAGGATGATGGCTCATCTAGGCCGGACAGATAAATCCAAGGATCCGGTGAATATGGTCTTTTGGGGTCGACGTTCACAATAGGCTCAGGGAGGGGAACTTTTGTGAGGTTTATGATGACTTGCTTCTCCAGGATGTTCTGTCTTTGGCAATTCTCAAGTCTGTTTTGCCCAGGCATCTTCAGATCCTGAGCTACAAGCCCAACAGCTGAAAGCGCTAGAAGCCCATGCAGATCGGCATCCAGAGATGGCCAGAGCGAAACCAGCCCAGCCTCCGCCTGCTCCGCCTGATTCCTCTCCTCATTCGGAAGAGGTCAGCCACAACCCTTCACCCAAGTCGCACATCAGCCCCAAGTCAGCGCACACTTCACCCAAGTCAGCCATCAGCATTTCACCTGCCAGCCCAAGTTCCAATGCTCCGGACAGTCCGAGCGAGCGACCCAAGAAAGCCGCCCAGCGTGGGACGTCCATGAAGACCACTGAGAAGCGCGAGAAGTCAACGACTTCGCCCAAGTCTTCCAAGGTTCAGGGTGCAGACAAGGGCATCTCTCCCGCCAAGACACCAAAGGTAAAGAAGGTGGCTCCCAAGAAAGAGGACAGTGGGCACAGTGAGCAGGAGAGATCAGCAAACCTAACATGTATATAAACTGTACTAACTAATTGTTGGATAAGTGCTTAAATTAGTAGGATATGGAAAACCTTGACCATTCTTAGTGAATACATCAGTTGCAATGCAGGGCTGGTGCCTTCTGTGTGGCTTTTCAAATGGACTATATGTTGTTTTTTTGGTGCATCTCATATTTTTTTTCGCTGCGCGAAGAAATAACCTTTAAGTGCACACTCTTTGCATCTCTTCGCATTTTGAGCATGATCGTCAGGTTTGAGTCGGCCTGTCGGCCTTGTCGCGTGCGTTTGAGGTCGGATGAGATCGTTGGTTCTCCCCACATTAGCGGACCATGGGACGGATGCTTTTGAAGTGGCAAGAAGATGTGATACACTCCGACTCACTAACATGGAAATGGAAAACCACCTGTTTGTAGAGGATTTCATGGTCTTCACAGGGGTCATGCCATCCACTTCCATGTTAGTGAGTCAGAGTGTATTATTTGTAGTTATACAGCTATGCATCCGGATCTCAGCTTTGGTAAGAGCGTCCAAGCAGGCCAGCCTCGCGGGTTTAGTCCAATCCTTTTGAGCAGATCATTGGGCCCGCCATATGTGACTCCAGGCACAAAAGCCAGTGCCAGTGGCATCCCAAGATGCTGCAGGTGGGGTTCTGACCGACCGTTTGTGTTGTTCCTTACGACCTTCTAACTTTACACCAGTTCCGCCGCCAGTGAGCTCACATGCAATCAATTGAAGTCGGTTGAGCTGCGGACATCGACGGCACATCTTCGCATTCGCCAAAATTTGCGAACAGCTACTGGTAGCTATTTGTTCCTAGTAGTATGGCCAGGAGCCCCTAGTAGCATCGTTGCTCCTAGTAGCGATGCCAGGAGCCCCTAGTAGCTTCTTGTTTCTAGTAGCTATTTGCTCATAGTAATTTGTAATGCCAGGAGCCCCTAGCAGCGCCCTTGTTCCTAGTAGCGATGCCCGTTGCTCCTAGTAGCAAACACATAGACCTCCAGGACACACAAAACGATGACATCTAAGGCTGTAGAGTCACTGTAGAGTCACTGCAGAGTCACTGCAGAGCTGCTTGAGGATCCCTCTCAAACTCCGTCTCAAAACGATTCTCTCACCGGTCAAGCGCTTTCTCAAGGCGAGACCTCGGATGAGGCGAAACCTCTGACGGGAGCGGACATCAGATGTGCTCAGTATAATGTGTGCTCAGTATAATGATCTCTCAGGGTGAAACACCTCGAACTGTTGATCTTCCAACGTCCAAGACGCATAAAAAGGATTAAAAAGGTGTCTACATTTTTCCTAGGCTCTATAAACACTCTTCATATCGTTTGATCGTTGTCCGTGTTTTCCTGGTCTGGATCGGGCAGGGCTTCTCTGAGTTAGGAATCTGGCTTTTTGAAGAGGCCCCTTCACGCTGGTCTGTGGCCGCGAGTTCGGCCGTGTTTGCAGCCGGGCTTCAATATCAAGTTGACCGGTGCGAGATACAGAAACGTACTAAGAAACAATCTGAGAACAATCTGAAAAGGTGTTTGCCTTAGATACAGCATTGTTCTAAGAGCAAGTATCTTGGTGCTACAAGGTCTCTTGCCTCGTCTCATTCTTTCAGGCCCTGGTGCGAACCGAGACGACTCTGATGATCCGCTCATCCCCCAAGGCGGGACGGTGAAAACCGGACTCGACGCGGCACGTTTGTTGGTGCCCAAAGGAGAAAGCCCCCCCCCTTCCAATCCCTTCAAACAATGGAAGTGGATATCATTTTGCCATATTTGTAGAGGAACGTCCACTTTCCAAGGCACCATTTGTTGCCATCCACTTCCATTGATTGGAGGGAGGGTACCTGAAACGGGAGTTCTTCAATCGCGTTCACGAACCGAGAACGCATGCAGGCAACCTTCAATTCCTCCTCCTTGACGCGTTTGCCCTCTGGAACCTGGCGAGGCGACGGCGATGAGACCGTTCTTTGTTCGCGGACGCCTGGAAGGGGCAGCGTGTATATATATATATATGTTTTCTATCTTTATAGGATGGTGCTATATATGCTTTCTATTCTTTTTTATAAGATGGTGCTATATATATATATGCTTTCTGTCTTTGTTCTTGTTGTTCTTTGTTCTTTCAGGTGAAGGTTTTCCCAAACTATATAGGAACCAAATGAATCGTGCGAGTGTGTCTTCAAAGAAGCTCCCCCCGCCGCCCCCATAGCAGCTAGCCCTTACTCTTAAATTATTAGGTGTAGTTTAATTAAGTAAGAGTTGACAAAAAGAAGAAAGGAAAAGAACACAATGCACCTGAAAATAGACTCTTGGAAATGTGTCCTCTTCTAGCTTTGCAGTGGCCACAGGTAACCATGATCCAGGGGACAGAAGATGCAGCAAACAAATTACAGATCATGGATTCAATCATATAAAAGCAATCCTCTCCAAGATCCACAAGGGAATTCACATATAACAATTAGAGTGCAGAACAATAAACAAGGGAGCAGAAAAGCATAGGAGTCATAGTGAATTAGTAACAAGCTCTTTTTAAAACAGTATTTGCATGGTTTTCTTTCATTTTCTTTTGGAAAGCCTTTTTCAAGTCTACGTGGACATGAATGGAACTTCCCAATAACTGCTACCCGCAGTTCAGGATCTTGTACCTCTGGGATCCTGTGGGGTAATCTATGGTATGAGGCAGAGATATTGTTTCGCTTGATGGTCTCATCGACTGCACCAGTTGACACTTTGTCCACTGGGTGTCCTGGGTCAAAGGTCAAACAGAGCTTCTTTTGGTCAGATGGAACAGAAAGGAATGGAACAGCTGTCAAATTCGAGCAACAACTGATTTGATTGTCTACTTCAGACCATCAGGTTCTCTTTGATTCCCACACTCAGAACGACCATCGCTCCTGCGGTGTTCTCAGGTGCGGTCCCGTGGTCCTGCGCAGCGCCGCGCTGCGCGAGCACCGCGACCACCGAGCGAGAAACGACCAGGTCCGGTGGAAAGCAGCGGCAACGACCGGGAGATGTTTCTGCGAGGAGCCCGAGAAGCCCGAGGGCGATGGGAGGATCTTCAAAGGTTTTGGACATCGCTACGAACGGGGCTCCTGGCCGTACTAGGAACAAGAAGCTACTACTAGGAGCAAAGGGCATCACTACTAGGAACAAGAAGCTACTATGGGGCTACCATGGGCTACCCAAGACCGACTTCCAGAGCCCGATCTCTTCGCTGCCCAGCTGCGCTGCCGAACGAGACCACGCCGCGCCGCCCGTGGGGTCTGAGGCGCTCGTTGTCGAAACACGAGTCCATGCCGCTGATCACCTTCAGACCACGACGTGGCAAGCGCGGAGCCTGAGACGACGCGCGAAAAAGGCGCCGGAATGCCACCCACGGCATTTGGCCCGCTGCTACATTTTTCCGTGGGCAGGAAACAAAGTGCCAGTATAGAGGCAATTCAGTGGGTACACTTGCAGCGTGTCGTATCTAATCCAGGAGGTGAAGTTGGACAGATCCGAAGCATGCTTTTGAAGAGAAGCAATACAGATTGAAACATATTGAAACGGCAGACACCATGCACACTAAGAGCTCAACACTCAACAGGACACCAACACTTTTCCCTGACCAAGCACTGCCAAAGAAATGCCGGGGTCGTTGTCAAGCACCATTCAGACTCCGGTGCTTGAAGATTTGCATGTCCCAAAAATACACCACTGGCATCCACTGGCTTATATGACCCGACCTCTAACATCCTCTAACAATGTGCTGCAGAAAGTTGCACTTTCTGGCAGTTGCCACTCAAAAAAAAGATCACCTGGCCCTGAACACTTACTCGTAGTTGCCAAAAAGACGGGTTCCGTTTAATGTTGTGCATCCATGGGATGCTATTCAACAGCATGCCATAGCATGCCCAATTTTAAGAACTCTGTTGGGCAAATAATTAGCATTTTCAGCGGAAATATCACGAAGCAAGCCGAAAACTCTGTATTTGATAGGCCTTATCCACCAGATTGATTAGGTCGTTAATTCGCTGAACTTTGAGATTTACCTCGGTTTCGCGTGGTTGCACAGTTCTCGCTTTTCTTTTTTCCTGCATACACACCTCCCGTACTCGGGACTATGATCTGAAGGGCAGTGATCGCACTCGATCCGAGTTGGCAAGCGACAGGTTGATCCTGGTTGTGCTTTGACCCATTTAAGATGTTCAAAAAATATGCTGAACAAACATGAGCAAACCAATTATCTAGTATAGATCTTTATAGATCATTGTCAGATTATGAAGCTAATGCGCTATCACTTGTTAGGGTGTGTAAAATCCTTTTTTTTGCGAGGAACGTACAACATCCAGTCGAACAAGCTGGCAGTTTTTGTAGGTTGGGTTATATATAATGAATACGGATTACGGATCCCGGATGATACTTTTATTCGGCCTGATTACATCCGGTTCCTGTGGTTCCAAGCGAAGCAATGTACACGAAGGAATACTTCCAACGTGCCCCAATCGGTATAGAAAGGACTGGTTGTACGAAGCTCGGTCAGGTTGTATCAACATTCGATGAGGTTCGCTTTCAGAGGGTTTGCCAGCCCCCAACTAATGCACACACACAGAATTAACCAACCTCCCCATATTGATCAAGCCCAGCTCGAGCCCCAAAATAATAAACCATTTAAAAGTTAAAACCTGAATTTCCACATTGGCCTCACCTTAATAAAACAAAATCCTTGGCAAAACGGCTAAACTTCCTATTAATCAAGCCTATTTGCCATCAGATTGCTTAAAGCTGCAATGTAAGCTGCCAATGTTCTCCCAAGCAATCTTTGTTCCGCACTCGCTAAAACTCTTAGCATTTTTTTTCATTTTCCCTTCTTATATATTATCAAAACCTTAAGGTTTTCAAATTGTTCAAGCTCAAAAAGGGTACCCTCGCACAGGCCTCGTGGTTCACACAGAATCCTATCAACCATCATCCATCAGGTCATCACCTTTATTAGGGGGATCTGGTCTCCAATACCTCTAATCTCAAACCTTGTTGACCTTGAAGGGGGGGAGGTTCATGTATCCCGTGGTATTTATTATAGTTCCCAACCAGTCCTAGACTCCTAGACTTGAGGTTACAAGCAGTGCAAGTGTTACATGTACCCCTGCATTATGTGTTACATGTGTTGCATGTGTTATTATGGTCTTTGGGATTGTTGTCCACCCTGGGTACAAACACCTGGGGACATTCGTCCCACACGTCACTTCCAGGGACCTCTGGGTGACGAATGTCAGCAACCCTGCGCTCGGGGCACTCAGGGAGACCGGTTGCTGGTGTTGCTTTTTTTTCCCCAAATGGTTAGATGGATAGACTGGTTTGATATGTTCGATTGACCCATTCAATTCCACATAAATAGTATAAACAATCTTTAGCTTTGACCAAAAGGGATTTCTAAGTGTTTGCCACCAACATTGAATTTCATAGCTGCTCCTACAAGCTGCCGGGATTCGGGTCCATGTGATTCGGCTGAGACATTCAAGGGTTTCTTTCCGGATGCACGTTCAACGACTTGTTTCAACTTCGGTGCTCATACTTGGCAAAGGCCTGGACATAAGGAAGGTCAAGGCATCCATCCTATGCATTGTTTGATGATGTTTGATGGAACTCCCAATTTGATGAGTGTGCAATTCAGCTGCACATCCAACGCCACAATAATTGGTGGCATTCTTATTCTAACATTTACAGGATGGCCACACGTGCTTTTGTGACTATGCATTTGCTATATAGTTATTGATTAGAGAGACCTCAGCATGTTTTGAGTTCTAGGACCTAGGATTGGCAATCGCACATCAATGTTCCAAGTGTTGTAGAGCTAGCAGCTAGCATGCCTTAAACAAAAAGCGTCTTGGATGGATTGTCGCATCTTGGTCAAAGGCCAGACACATATCCTTGCCTGGATGAGCGGTTGAGGCCGCGCGTGATGGGGGATGGGCCAGAAACATCCGAAGACACCGGGTCTTTCATACCTTTTCTAACCCTTCAATGTCTATGTCCATCGGGTCTTGCTTGGATATTGCTTGGATAGACTTGGCAACGTCTAGGGTGCAGTCCCGGTGCAGGGCCGTTCTTTCTTTTTTTTTTTCGCGCGTACTTACTACATGCACCATACGTCAACGGGGCGTTCTTGACCCCAAGAAGTGTGGGAGGTTGACTACATTCATATGAATTTGCTTGCATTTTGCCATGTGTATCTGGTATAATCCCGTCCTCCTAATAATAAACACGGCCCCCCCCCCCCTATTAAAAAAACCTCGGTCGCATTTTTTCTAATAGGGGGTCCCTGAAATCGGGGGGGCCAAAATAGTGTCACTTGGAAAGAGTTTCAAAACCAAAAAGTAATCCAGGAAAATTTTACATAAAATCCTTTATTAAACTCGTATCAAAAATGCAAAAAACCGCCAGATCGAAGGGTCTTCCTTTTCCCCTACAAAAACCTTCATTAGAATAGTGATTCTTCAGTAGACTAACAGCTAAAGCTTTCGAAAGGTGATGTCGCTGTGCCATGCGGTGTTGCATGACCTCGGTGGCAAGTGCGTTCGCGTGAGTCCGTGCCATTGAGGGAAGGAAAGCCTGCTGGTGTAAGCGCGGCGTGTCATGGTGGAGTTTTGGGGAACCTAATTAAAAAAACTACCCCCAAAATCGACCATGTTGGTAGCTTAGTAGCGGCTTGAAAGGGCGGCAATTTAAAACCAAATATAAACCGAATTTAGGGGTTCGGACGTGGTGTTTTTTTAATTGGGGAGTGTTTATTAATAGGTACTCGGGATTAAAGAGTTTGTCATGGACCATGTGAGGGTTTGGTAGCAATGTCAGGTCGCAGACATTACAACACCCATGACAAAAAATGAGCATCCAACTCAACTTGGTTGTTAGGTAGATAAGTAAAACATAGTAAACCAATTGAATCGTTGGATTTAATGGGCTCCCATAAGCCAGAGCAGTAACCTAGACCTCCGACCTATCCTGCTGGTCCAACCCAGTCGGTGACCGCGCACCGAAAATAATCCTCTCTACTTGAGGAGTCATGGAGGTTCTTGTTGTGACTCCTGGTATTTGAAGGGGCCAGAGAAGAATCCTGCATCACAAGTTGCGGCACTTTAGAAAACGATGGGTGGGCCTTTGTTCTCAATTCTCAAGCAAGCTCTTTTCCTCAGTCAGGGTGTTTAGTGCGCACGAACATGCGATGTGCCACTGAAGTATAATATGATGGTCCAGTATAATATGATGGTCACAAACATACACAGACGTGTTTGCTCTTCTTGCAATCTGCAGCTGAAGCTGTGACTAAAAGACCAAGCTGTGTAGAACGATCAGTGGAAAACCCTTCCAAGATGGAGCCAGGCCCTGATACATGAACCCTGACGGTCAACAAGCGGGCGGCCAGGTGCACTAGCAAGTATGAGGTCAGCATCTCAGTCTGAGGTTCAAGCCTAGGGCCTCGGAGTAGCCTAGGATGATGCCCCCAACTACTAGGGTTTGGAATGGATGAACCTTCAAGGATGGCAAGGCAAATGTATAACAAAACTGAGGGTCCTGGCAAGTAGTTGAGCATATCTAGGATGATCATGCAGCATCTTCAGCCAATCACCAGCGTTGCTGTGCAGTTCTGCTTGTGCCTTTCGGAACCTTCATGTGCCTCCGCCTCATGGGGATGGAACAGAGGCGAACGGTCTGGCGGGGGCCTGGAAGCCTCAACACGATTTGAGATGGGACATACCTGGATGGACTCTGCCTCTCTTGAGCCAGAAGGCAGTCAGAATCTATCGTTGCTGAATTCCACCTGTCCAAATCTCTTGAGCCCTACTGAGGCGCCCCGGCAAGTCTCTTTTGGCTTCAGCCGGAAGGGCAGCCGTTGGCCTGCGAACGCCGAACAAAAGCCGGGACCAGGCTCCCAACTGGAGAAAACTGAGGGAGCGGTCACTGAAGGATCCACCGGGTTTACGTGAAGAAATCTATTCCGATTCGCTAAACCACGGTTCAGACTCTTTTTCACTGCCATGGGCCATAGCCACTTTCGGCGATTCCTGTAGTGGCCGTTGGCACTACACCTACTGTGTGATTCAATACGCTGCGTGCAAGGGGAAATTGATGAAGTAACATAGTATAAACCGGTGGTTGTCACCGGGTCGTGCTTGGTGAAACACTAAATATATATAAGGAAGGTACCTAAACTGTACAACTGCGTGCATGCTGTACCAATTGGGGAGGCGCTCATGGTATTATTATTGATGAAGTATTTGCAAACATTAACTTTGTGAATTGCCATTCCACTTTGAGTGGAATGCTCAGTTCACATAGAGTGTCTAATTCACACAGAGTCTTCAACTCATATTGAGTTGGTCATTTCACATAGAGCATGCCTTTGGCATGGATCCTTTAATTCACATAGAGTGATGATTTTTACTGTTCACTGTTACCCCTAAATTCCTAAACAACACATATCTAAACAGGATGGTTGAGTGGGATCCACAGTTCTTGGAATGGATGCAGGTGAAGCTCTCCATGTTCCATGCGGGATGTTAAGCCGGCCATGTTCATGGCTTTGAGCGTTATTTTGACACCCAACGCCCACACCTGTTTGCTTCAAGAAGCGTGGCAATAAGAGAGAGAGAGAGAGAGTAGAAAGAGAGAGAGAGAGAGATGAGAGAGTATATAGAGAGATGAGAGATGAGAAATGATATAAGAGAGTAGAAAGTAGAATCGCACGATGTCGCAAGTGGAGCAGTGATGGGGAAGAAATGGACCTTTGTACCTGTTTGTACCTGACCAGGTGGTTTTGCTGTCTCTCAAAGTCTCAAAGGCCCAAAAAGACGCTACTAGGAACAAGTGCATCGCTACTAGTAACAAGGGCCTTACTAGTCGTAACAATGCTTGCTATTAGAAACAACAATTAGACTTTAATTAAACTTATTGTTTCTAATAGCAAGCATTGTTACTACTAGTAAGGCCCTTGTTACTAGTAGCGATGCACTTGTTCCTAGTCTCTCAAAGTCTCAAAGGCCCAAAGAGTGTAAAACCATTTTCGGTTGTGCAGCAAAGGTGGAACATGGTGGAACACCTGTTGGTTGGAATCTCTTGATGTTTTTGCGGAAAGGAATGGTTTGCTTGTGCCTGCCTGCATGTTTGGCAGAGTTTGGAATTCTTCGTGATATGATGCTTCTATTGGCCATTAATGCATACTCTGTTGATGATTCACTGTCATTGTTTTTGCTCTCCTTTCCTTCGCACGAGTCTGCTCGAAAGGTGCGCACTCTTTGGTCAACTTTGAAAGGCAGGCGGCATGGTTTGCTGGTTGTAGTGAGAGAGAGAGAGAGAAGGGAGTGAGTCTTTTCAGGTATTGTTTTATTCTTTGTTTTGGCTTGGTTTATATATATATATACATTCTCATGCTCTCTCGATCTTGCCCCAGACTCCCTCGTGTGAACCCTTGCAACTTTAGACAGAATTCTCATTTTTATTAGCATAAGCACCTGGGGCCCTCAAACACAGAGACTGAGGGTCCAGCCGCCCATTCTGGGCCACCAGCGCTTTCCTGCTGACAGACTCACCAGCGCCATCCGACTCAACAGAGTGCCGATGGTGTCACGCGCCGTCCGGAGCGGCGCTGGAGCCCCTCGGAGGTTCAAGTTCGCCGACCCAGTACGGCACAGCTTTGGCGGTGCTCCACGCTGCCGACCCAACCCCATCAGGCACACGGACGGGGCACGGAGGCGCTGTGCTTCTGTGGCGCTCACAGTGGGCCGCAGAAAGATGCCGAGTTCGGCTCAGCAGCGTTTTAGTACAGCAAACTGAGCGAGAGAGAGAGAGAGAGAGAGGGAGAGAGCGAGTATAGGCTTGTGTCTTGAAGGGCTGTAATTACTGTAGCCTTTAGCATGGCTTGCAGGAACAGTTCTAACATGTTTTTTTATTTGATTAAAGGGGAAGAACAGCTAAGACTGACCTTCGGTTGGCAAGATGTACAGCGGACGGATGAAACAACAAAAACAGGACAAAACATCAGGAGTCGGACCATTTTTTGTCTTCAGCGAGGAACCCTGTGGTCGCCGCGTGTCAGGGATAGCGGCCCGGGCCCAGGGGCCTATGGCATTCAGAAGTCTGCTGATGAGGCACACATCTTACGACTGCGACGGGTTGTGTTGGCGCTGCGAGGGCGGGGCAGGGACAGGGCAGCTGAAAGAGGGTAGTGTGATGGTTTGCTAGCATTTTATTGTTATACCGTAATCATAACTATAATTATAGAACACCGGATGATTTGTTTCCTGAAAACAGCGCAGGATTGCTCTTCAACTCTACAAGAAGGATCAGCACAGCTGTCTCTAGTATTGTGCTCTTGAAGTTTTTCCAAGAAGTTTTGTACTAGCAAGGGTTTAAGTGTGGTGTTAACCTGGCAGTGCTTGGTCCTTCAGCTTGCCCTTTTCATCGGGTCGAAGGACCACAAGTCGGCTTCGAAGCAGGGAATCAACACTCACAGAATCCCAAGCCTGCCGGAAAAGACCTCCTAATATGTTCTTATTGGGTTGGAGGCCATGGCTATGGAGGCCATGGCTATAAGTGGGCAGTTGCCCAGAGAATGCCCAAACAAGATGCATATACTGTAATGGATGTCAAATAATTTCAAGAGTCAACGGATTGAAACTTCATGATACAAACACGTTTTGTGTCTCTTTGCTATTTACATCCATTTCCCTTCAGAGCTTGCTTGCAATATCCAGTGAGGCTTTCTGCTCTCCATATTGCCCCTAGATGCAAAACACCTCTACTGTCACCCATATTTCACGGCAACAAAAACCTGAAAATCACCATCACCCTTTGTGAACCTAGACATTGGAATTGTGTGATGGCAGCCGTGCTTTTATTCAGGAGGGGCCTGCAGTGACCATGACCGGCAAGTTCCGGAAGCTCGGGTGCTCGGCACATCGAGTGCTAAGTAGGTCGGCTATAGCTGGATGGCTGGAGTGTCCTCCCAGGCGGGTTTGAGTTCGCACCTTTCAAGAGGCCTCCGGACGTGTGTGCTTAGACCCTGTGGGGTCTATGCTGGGTGACCGGGAGGGTGTTTCTGGTAAGACTTGGTCCAGGCGAGGGTATCATCATCGGCTTGGCCATTGTTTGGCCCCATTGCATGGCCAAGATACAGCTCACATGCTTGGCAATTGATTGAGCCATGGAGAATCCCACGAACCAAGTGCCTCAAGCATGACCAACTCCGAAATTATTGGTTTTGAGGAGCTGAGACGTTGGGTGATGGACACACTCTTGACCTGCATCAGTGGTTTGTCAGAGGAATTGGTGAGGACATTGTAGCAACGAACATGATTTCTTAAGAGTGGTCCCACTTGGCCCAAGTGACCAGCTTTCGATCCTTTCGCTTTGACACAGTAACGATCCTTAGCAGCACCAGACTCTTGGGATGTTCACACCTGTACGACTGTACGACTCGTGGCTGAGATGACTGTCGAACCGATTCTTCTCCCAAGCCTTCCAGGTCAAGGAAGATCACAGGTGATTTCTGAGTGCTTTCCCAACTTCCAAGGCGTGGGGTGTTGAACTATGACGACCCAGGCGTGGTGTGTCACGGAGATTTTTGCATGACCGGCATGACAGAAGGCGTGTCATCTTTGCGTGAGGTCAACATCGCCGGCATCGTCGCATCGTCTTCAATAGCTTCTTTTCATGTCTTTTCCATGGCACATAGTTATTGGGACCTGGATCCATGTAGAGGATTGGACACCACTATGATCACAGTTTCTTTCCACTCAGATGTACAAGGCCAGAGCGTTCTCCCCCGGGTTCGGGTTTGTCTTCTTAAATGGGCCAACAAAAAACCTCCCAACATCACCAAACCATGTGGTTGACCAACTCACTTCCTTTCCCATCTTAAAACCAAAAAAAACAACAACCCACTGTCCTCAACTCGCTGTCCTCACGTTCTTCGTGCGGCGGCTTCGGAGCCCCACCGGAGCGCGGCCAGGCCCCGGCGCCTATGATCCTTCAGACGCCCGGGAGCTCAGCGTGCGACGAGGAGTCGAACGGGCCGGGAGGAGAAGAACACCAACACGGCGGGCCACCGGCCAGGGCTATTAGGTTGGAGGCAGGTGCTATTAGGTCGGAGGCCATTGCTCTTAGGTTGGAGGCCAGTGCT